GAAAAGCAGCAGCCTCAGCTCCGGCAGACACACAAGTGTCATCCAGTTTGTACTGATCTGTTGAACAGCAGACATGTAATGTTAGGGACAGTCAGAACATTACGAGACAGGCTTTTAACACCACAGAAGCTATCTTGGTATTTAACATGCTGAGAAGACAAGCTAATCACAAATGACTTGTCTAGATGTCTGTATTCCTTTGGCTCCTTAGGTATTTTGTAGATGCTGACGGCCAGTGTGAACTTTAAATCAATTTATTGCGTGTGTTTACATACGCGATAAAACCATTTGCCATATCATTTCACTACACACAGTGAATTGTTGACCATGAGCTGATCTGACCTTTTCAGGCCTAATCAAGAAATATGAAATATTATTTCAGCCTGTCAGCTCCAGCAATATGCTGTAAGAGTATCTGGATCTAACTGAAAATGTCAAATGTGCTCTAATATGCAACCCATCACAGTTACAATGCAAGAGCTGGTTGAGAATATGAATCTGTAACATTCGTGGTGCATCTCAATTGCCTGGGTAAGCTGTTCTGGCACTGATGCAAGCTAGCTAAAAACATGCATTAAAGGCAACTCTTTGGAATACATGTGAGATGTGCAGCCACTTAAATATTTAAATGATGTTGACAGAGGGCTGATAACACCAGGTTAGAATATCAGTGGGAAAAACAGTAACCAGTGAGAATATCAATGCTCTAGTGAATGTCTTGCTGGCTTTGTTGTGTGGCAACATAAGATTAGTGGTCTCATGTAACCTTAGAATTTTCCTTTTTAATTTTAATAATTTGCTGCTTGTGAAGATTTTATGCTTTCAAGAAATAATCCATTATGTAAGCTGAGGTGTCCTTATCAATCTTACTTATGTTGAATTTAGTATTAAAGCATTTTCATAGTCTTGCGTGTTTCGTGAAAAAAATCTACTTCTATTTTTCAAAAGCCTTCTAAAAACCAACACTGTTGTCAGCAGATTATGGTGTTTAATGACGTTTAATTTCTTTGTTTGCCTCATCTTCGAAGTTTCTGTTCTTGGTATTTTATTAGGTACTCAGATCTGGGCTAGATATACCTTTAATAATTATTTATCAAGCATGAGACCAGTTATTTATTGGTATAATTTCTGGATGATGAATTTAAATTTGGATTAAAGTGGATGGGCATAGTGAAAAACAACTTTATATCTTAACAAAATGGTATTTTCTTTGCTAAACAGTCTATCAAAATTGTTTAATCTTAAAAGAGTTGTTACACCAAAATTGAGTTGGTTTTTATCTAATTGTGGGTAGTTCGTGCAATTTGAGGTGCTATTAACTGAATTGCTGCTATTAGTAAAATGCTTTGGAAGTAGAATTAATGGGCATAGTGAAAAACAACTTTATATCTTAACAAAATGGTATTTTCTTTGCTAAACAGTCTATCAAAATTGTTTAATCTTAAAAGAGTTGTTACACCAAAATTGAGTTGGTTTTTATCTAATTGTGGGTAGTTCGTGCAATTTGAGGTGCTATTAACTGAATTGCTGCTATTAGTAAAATGCTTTGGAAGTAGAATTAAAATGAACTATGGGTTGCTGAACCTTTTTTTTGGCATTGAAAATAGTGTGTATTTTAAAGTACCCAGTTAACGCTATTTGAGCTGCTCTTACGAGGCAATGCTGCCCTCCCCTGGCACGCTGAGAAATGCAGGAATTCTTATCCCAGTCTGAGCAAGTTCTAGAGCTTCCTCTTAAAGAGCAATTGCCGAATTGGTGAAAACGGTGCGGGGGAAAATGATCTTAAACAGACCATTATGTGCCTTCTCTACTAAAAGACAAAAAAACCCACAACCCAAAGAAACTGTGAAATAGACATTGGTGCTGTGCTTTTGTGTATGCATGGTGCAGATGTGGATGAATGTACAAATAATACACATGAATCTACCGTGAATACACAAGGTAGAAAGTTGAGGGCTGAATTAAGTTTGGGTGGTAGTTTGGAGGATGAATTGAAGACAAAATAAACAGATACAAGGTAGTTGCTGAAAGACAGCAGGACCAATTACAATAAACTCTTTATTAACATTATAGTTTTCTCTTGTAAACATTAATGATAAATCTCTAAACATTGTATGCATGTTCAGTGCTGAAATTGAAAAGTGAGTGGGACCATGGCCAGCAACTTGCATGGGAACAGGATTAGCTCTTGTGCAGATGAAGTTGTAGCAAAACTGTCATCTTCTGTCTGAGGCTATTGATTACAAAGATAGCACCATAGGCTCAGGAGGTGCCTTCACTGCATGTTCATGAGAGCTGAGGAAGGTAGTCCAAGGAAATATTACTATTGCATGGTCTGTTCTTTAATATATTTGTTCAGCTATCTGTTAAGAACTGCTTCTGGAGATAGAAGGTTGGTGTAGAAGGTTCTTTAGATTGTCCATTGGCTGTTGTCTGTGTTGCTATTTCCTGTAGTTTTGTAATCCTTCCAGTTCTCACTGCTAGGCAGTGAGATAGCAGAAAGAAAGGTGGGAGTTGTTGGTTTTGTGTTCGTTTGGTTTTAAGGTATAAACTATCCCTTTCTTTCTATAATTAAGTTTTGTCTGTTTGCTGGACAACTCGCCAAACACGCTTTTTTTCCTATGGCATATGACTGTTTTGTTTGCATTAGAGATCACCTAACACTAGAGAAAACTGGAGAGAGTATGTTAAAATCTCTGGTTCATGTATTTCTTCATGTCTTGGTTCTGAACAGATTGACAGATTGGGGATCAGGAGGGAGGGTTTTTTTCCCCAGACTGGTTTGCTCGAGGACTTTGCTTGAGTGTGAGTTCTTGTCTACTACTTAGGGTCAGGTCACTTGGGAGACATTTTAAGAACTATGGAATATAATGATATTCCCAACCTGACCTGCTCTGCTCCAGCAGCATGTTACAGTGGTGTTGATATTTTACCACTACTTTTTATAAGGTCCTAGGAATTGTTTTTTGTCTGTGGTTCCTGCCAGTTCACAGAGCAGGTGTGGACCTCTCTGAACTAGACTCTAGCTAGTCAGTTACCTGTGACTGTGGCAGATAGAACCTGAAGATTCCAGTGGTCTTTCACAGGCTTTTGTTTCTAAAGTGACTTTGCTGACAGCGAAGTAGTATTACTTACCTTCATGCACATAAGCTAGCAGGCTACAATAAGCAATCCTTTTGAAAACTAGCTGTAAAACCACTGCAGGTATGGCTCCATAACAGTTAAAGGTGAGCTAAACCAACAGACTAGATGCCTTTCCCTTTGTGACACCCTGCCATGGTAAACCCAGTTTTATATGGGGTTTTTTTTGTGTTAAATTAATATTCTGTCAGTGTAGCATCCCAACTCAGCTCATCAAATGGTTATGGTCGCGGTGTCGCTCCTTGACTTAGGACAAATGTATGAGGTCTAAGATTGTGTAATGATTTTCTTTCTTCTCCATAACTTTTGCAGGTATTGGGGCTGCTGGTATGGACCCTGATTGCTGGAACAGAATACTTTCTATATCCAGCCTTTGGCTGGGTGATGTTTGTAGCTGTGTTTTACTGGGTTCTCACCGTCTTCTTTCTGATCATCTACATGACAATGACCTACACCAGGATCCCCCAGGTGCCATGGACCATGGTGGTAAATATACCCATTCTTTGTTGTTTCAGGTTTGCTGAGTTGCAAAGAGAATAAGATACTGGTGCATTCTGTGGGTGCAGGTAACCAACTGCACTTGTGCTCTTTGCAGATTTTCCCCCTAATTACTGTGTGGCTGAGTACCTGCAGTACTTAACCTTTGTACTACCCAGACACTTTTAAAACACTTCCTATGATGTTGCACCATTTTGTTCAGTGGTTGATGTAGTGATTTCATTTTTAATAATGTGTGTGTGACTGATACTTATGCACAGTGACCTCTTTTTCTCTCTGTAGTGGTTACATCCCATGAAGAACGAGTCTGTTGCTGCCTCTGAACTAACAGACCTGGCCATATGGCTTAAACAGCAGAAATCTGTGCTGGAATCAATACCATGAATTGGAAGTGGGACCTGGGCTCTTAAAACATGGGTCTTCCTCTGCTAAGCTAAAAGCAAAGGTGGTTCAGAGGTGGCAACAGTCTGACAATCCATATGTAGTTTACCCTGAAAATGGTGCTGAAAATTAGTGTTATGTAAAATATGTACTATGTAACCCTTTGCTTTTAGCTCAAGACTTAAAGCAAATCAGATAAACAGCTAATGTAATTACAGAAAACTTTCACAGGCACTTAAAATTCAGATCCAGTTTTTATGGTTTGGACAAACCTGGCTAGCTGTGCCTCTCAACAATATATTTTTACATCGTTTGCATAACAGGCTGATCTTCAGGATAATAGATCCTAAAAGTCACTGTCATCTCAGCCAATTGGTTGTTTGTGACCTATCCAAGAATTACTATTAATTTTAGCTTTGCATTTGTCAGGTACAGTGAGATACTATTCTTTTTTTTTTCCCCTAGCTAGAGGTTATTGACTAGAATTCTGTTATTTTTATGATGAAATGTATTTGACTTCTGTGTTGCTAACAGCTTGTTATCAGGTATATTGTGTATGTGACTAAAATTGAAGACTCAAATACTCTTTTAGTCTTCCCATTTGCTGCTGTAATAAATAGCCAGCTAGAGCAATTACTAATAAGAACAACCAGGATTATGTTCAGATAGCTTCTCTATTTTCAACTTTCATGACCAGCAATTACCATTAAGGCTGTTACATTGCTATAGAAATGCTGGATTATTTCAATTACAGCAGTAATGTGTCTGGGTACATTTAAAGGTGTGGTGTGTTGTGGTGAGGTTTTTTTCCCCTCATTGCATTAGATGTAAGTAAAGTTCATTCTCTCATCAAGGGAAAGCATCTTTGTATCCATTTGAATAAAATTTGGTCATTACCCTTCTTTCATCAGCTGAATGCTATTATCAGACAAGTGCACATAAATGAGTTGCCCCCGATCTATGTCATAGATGATCTGGAGTATTTGATTTGTTTCTGCTTCATATCGAGTGTATTTATTGCTCTGAGTTCCAAACACATTGCAGATAAGATCACATAAATGTAGGTCCAAAAGGTACTTTACTTTTATATTAAAGGGTAATATAAAGGGAAAATGAATGCAAAATACATAAAAGGTGCTTGGATTGCAGCTTGTTTTGCCCTAAGGTATTAAAAGAGCTCTTGGGAACAGCCTTTGAATTAGTCTCCTGTCTGGTCACGAGGAATGTTGGGTTTCTTTTCAGAGAGATGTTGTTGATGTCTTCATTCAAAAGAGCAGGGCACACACCTTTTTGAGTGAGTTTATGCTCACTTTCACTCTGTTCTCTGAAGTATCCTGAATTTCAGTATCTGCTAGTTATTGCTCTGCCTCCTCAGACGACAGTTAGCTCAAACTGTTCCTATTGTATGCAGGATCCAAAATTACATCTGGACTTCTCTGTCATAAATTCACTTTTTGCAGGTTAAGCACATTACCAAATTGCTTAAGATGCAGCTACTTTTACTGCAAATTAACCCAAAGGACATGCTTCAAAACTGACTTTCCTTAATAGCGCAAGTTCTTTGCTAAAACAATCAATGGAAGCTTTTAAAATCTGGTAAATTTGAATTTAAGAAGCAGATGGTAATTTAGCATGAACCATTTGGTTTGAGTAATATATTGGCAGTAAAGGCCCAATCAGCTTGCATTGCATTCCATCTTCCCCAACAGTGTTATTTCCCAGAGCAGCACTTCTCAGAAATTATGTGCTTTTTTCTTTTCTACATGACAAGATATTGCAGGGATTTGTAGCTTTCCAGGGTAATTGAGTCTTTTTGGAATGGGAAATCTGAAAATAACAACAACAAATACTCTAGGTAATCAGATTTGGAGTTTATAAATCAGTGCTGTACAGAAGTTCACCTGAACCTGCCAATTGTTGGCATCTTATCCTAAAATTGACGGTTTGATATTTTATTGCTGTAATGCCCAGATAAAACCAGAGAGGTGAGACGTGTGGGTAGAGATAATACCTTTCATTAGACCAACTGATACATGTGAGATAAGCCCCACTCATTTGCAAGTGTGTGAATCAAACCTCAAGTGCCAGGCCTTGGACTCCATCTGAGTGCTGAGGCACTGCCCACAGTTCCCTGTGGAAGGCTGGCTAAGTGGCTCTTTTCCAAATGCCCTGAAGTTGCAGGGACTTAGGAACAACAGCAGGATGTGCATACCTTCTAGTCTGCTCTGGAAACTGTAGGAACTGTTTGCATTGGAAGTCTCATGTTGACAGTGGTGACCTGAAGACTGTCATGTTGGCAGATGACAGCACAGCATGCTGCCCTCATTGGGGGGCCTGCAGTTGAGAAAAGAGTGCTTGGAGAATCACTGCCCTTCAGGAAGTTTTGAACCCTGTGTATCACAGGAGCATGTGGCAGTGGGCCAGACTCCACCAAGTCTACATAAATTTTGCCAGAACCAAAGGTCCTGGAGATGAATGTGAGGAGCTTCCATTTCAACCTGTTGATCCATGCTTTGGTGCACTGAGGGAATTGTTGATGTTGGTACAGCTGTTGTCACAGCCCTTCTGAACTTGTCTTCTTGAGCTGCAGCTCTTTTTCAGATTGTGCCAGAGTTGGTGACTAGTGAATTAAATAGTGAATAATTAGCATATATTCCTAGCATCCACTGGGTCACACCATGGAAATTAATGAGTTGGAGCTGCACTGGTATGGCAACATTTAGACAACTAGAGCAACAGAGTTAAGGGTTATATTTGTGTGATGCTCTGGAATGCAAATACAAGGCCAGAAGCTGAAGGGAGCTGATTCTGTACAACATTAGGACCTAGATTATATTGAGTTACCAATTCCTGAAATTGTAACTAGATGCTAAGCATGTCATAGTTATTCCACTTAAGCATGGCACCAGTGAACTAAAAGTATATTTTATGGCCAAATTCATACGCCTTAGACAAGTAGAAGGGTGGGGTTTGGGGGGATTTTATTTTTTCAATAAGAATGAACTTCCTATAGCCATGACCAAGTAGTAAGTAAGTAAAGGACAAAGTATTAAAATGATGTACTTTCAAAAAACCTCTCCTATTTTTCTCTTTCACCTTCTTAAACTTCTGCTCTCTCTCCCTTTCTTGTTCTCTCACATGCCAAACCCAACAACCTTTTTGTCTGTTCTCTGTAGTGTTATGTGAGCTCAATGTTATATGCTTTGCCTGTTTCTTAGTAATGAACACTACATCCTGTGACGTTAATTTTGCTCCTTAGAAGAGAACATGCAGCATCTGCCATGAAGGAGTTTTGATGACCCATGTAGTCCATTCAGACATTTCTCCTTGGTTTTACCTGTTTCTTTCTCCTCTCAAAAACAGGCAGAAGGGAAAGGTACTGTAGGGTGGAAGAATACAACTGAGGAAAAAAAAATCACCCTCTTTATCTCCTTCACAAAGAGAAAACAAAGTTTTGGAAGCTTTGTAAATATTCTTCATATGCCACAAGTTACTGATTCCTACAGTGTATCTTTGTGTAGATTAGAAATGCAATCACAGTTTTGTTTTGTTTTGTTTTTTCATTTAGTGTCATAGTCTTACAGCCTAACACTTAGATTGTGATAACCAAACTGTCCTTATTTTTGCTTATCACATTTGCAGTGTACATTGCATGTGTTCAATGTATTTCAGAAGAGAGTTTTGTAATGCTGGAAAACAAATGCATATGCATATTAATTACTTATGTTTGGTTTTTCAACAGGGTCTGTGTTTTAATGGAAGTGCCTTTGTTTTGTACCTCATTGCTGCCATTGTAGATGCATCTTCAGTTACCAAAGATCTGCACAATCACAATTACAACAGCTGGGCAGCTTCTTCAGTGAGTTAATTTTTTGTTTACATCAGTTCTATGTCCACTGAAGTTACATCAAATGAAGACTTAGTGCACTTGGACAGCTTCAGAAGCAGTTTAAACTAACTCAGTTAACTTTGCATGCATGTGGATAAGATGCATTCAGCTTTCTGTGGGCTGAGCCATCTACATAGCACCTTTGGGAAGGCCCTGAAGGCTACTGCTGTTTCTAGGGTAATCTTCCTGTTACAGCCTCAACTTTTGATAGTCTTCCTTTTGGCTCACATGGACAATGCCTGAAAAGTCATGTAACTTTCCAGTGTTTTAAAGTGGTTGCAAATCATTAATTAATCTGACATTACTATCTTACTAGTTAGATTTAGAAATCCAAAACAGTCAGTCAAAGTAGATGGAAAATAACTTAAAAAAAGAACAGAGAAGAGCCTTGTCACTTTCTGAGTAGGTGAATACATTGACTAGCTAAGTTAAGGGAGTTGTAAAAAACTTCTTGCATGTTGTGGCAACAGTAGTCAAATTCATTTGTACACAGTAATCCCAAATTACAGCTATTTTGCTGACTATTCCTGCTTCTGCAGTTGTCCTCTGGACTATTCACAAATCCTGTCTGAAGCTTGTTGTATATGGCCATGAACTCAGGAACTTGAGCACCTGCCCTGTTTTTGTCTTGGGAATTGGATGACTACATCCCTGCCATGTCAGTGGTGTTCAGGGTCTTCTCCCCTTGACAGTTTGTAACTATTGATCTGTTACTCAGCCACTGCAGTTGACAGGAACTTGCCTGCTGTTAGATAAGCTTCCATGCTGATTCAGGTTTTATGCAAAATGCATGAATGTTCAGTGTCTCATGGGATATCTGGATTCTCTTCTAATACCTCCTAATAATGTTTACCTAATGCAGTGTCTAAACAAACTATTAAATGTAGATTCTTGCTTTCCAAACCCATTGAGGGTTTCATGGATAGAGGATTTAGCAAATCAGCTATCCCCAATAGTCGTTCTATTAGAAAGTTTTTCGACGGAGCTTTTATTTAATAACAAACAATTATAGGAAGAATGCTACAGCTTTCTATTGTAATAAGATTTTATAGTATCATCTAGAGGTTTTGGTGCCACACATTAAATTTACATTAGACAAGACTCACCAAGAACCCTCTGTTGGAAGGCTTAGATTCACTGCCTGGACACACGCTTAGCAGTGCACTTCTCTTAGAGCTGCAGTGCCGACCTAGGCCAATATGGCATATATGCAAGGAACAACTGTAGAATCATCAAATGTCTTTAGGCTGGAAGGGACTTCTGGAGGTCATCTGGTCCAACTCTTTCTCCTCCTGAAGTAGGACCAGCTTGTATCAGGCTACCAGGGCTTTGTCCACTTGAGTTTTGAGTATTTTCAAGGCTGTCTAATTGAATTTCCTGTCTTGTAACTTGTGTTTGTTCCTTCTTGTCCTATCATTGCTCACCTCCCAGAAAAGTGGTCTCCTTTGCAGTGACAGCTTTATTTAGTTTGGTTACTGGCACAAAACATTCTGGTGGTATCATTAAGATCATATAGAACATTGTCTGTTTTGAACAACATGCAGTGATTAACAGGAACTCAAGCACTGGTTGGACTTTATCAGTACAACTGAAATAGTTCACAGCTGCTTTTAGTGTACACTGCAGGAGCAACACCACTGACACAGTGTAGTTTTAATCTATAAACATAAATTTAAACATAAATCTAGCCTGCTAGAGAAGGCTTATTCTGTTACCAATTTCTGACAAAGTGGTAATATGACAATGTGGTTGCTGTCATTGCTATTTGCACTGAGGAATACCTTTTTTCATCAGTGGAGAAAGTCTGGAACTGGTAACCTTATCAGTATCACTGTTTGAGAACGTGTCTGGGCCTGCATTGGAACCCAAGTTTTCTCTGTAAACAAACAGATGCACAGTGTGCCATACAAGTGGGCTGTAGGCAAGTCCTGGAACGTAGCAGCAGGACAGGAGTGTTAGCTTGAGCTTACACTGTCCCATGAATTATCCCTCAGGCTTTAAAAGCAGCAGGTATGGGATTGGTGGCAGTCCAGTCTGTAAGATCCATACTGAGGCAGTATAAAATGGAGATTATAAAAAAAAAGTTGAAATATATGCCATGTTTTGTCTGCTTCTAGGCCTGTGTTTCCATGTATAATATAAGCTTACATACACAGTGTTGATTGTGATAGCCACACCAGTACAAGGAGATGAGTGTGCCATTTCAGCCAGCCTGCTGTTTTCCTTTTTCCAAATCCCATAACTACTTTTTTTCTTACAAGTGACAGTGCATTCAAATCTTTTTTTTTTTCTAATATATTTTTTCCCCTTTCTCTGCAGTTCTTTGCCTTCCTGGTTACCTCCTGCTATGCTGGAAATACGTATTTTAGCTTTATATCCTGGCGGTCACGAACTTTGCAGTAAATATTTTGTTAAAACTGAATTTTGTAGTATAAAATATCTTGAGGATTGTATACTTTTGACAAAAGCTTGGAAGAGGAGTGAGGTATTTTTGAACATTTCTGTTAGAATTGATACACTATAAACTGAGATTAAATGATTATTTATAACAATGCCATCTTTAGAGACATCTAACACTTTGTACTGGAAAAGAAAATTTCATACTGCTTCTTTTAAGATTAACATGGTATTTTTCTAGACATTGTATAGTTGTTACTACTGAATCTTTAATAAATCTTACTCAATGTGCCAAGTTTGTGTAAATGTAACTTTTTCAATGTTACAGGTGTACTTTTGATACTGAATGCTACAAATAAAAACTACGAGTGATACTGTCTCATTACTATGTATAAAAAGTGACATGATACTGAATGCTACAAATAAAAACTATGAGTGATACTGTCTCATTACTATGTATCAAAAGTGACGTTGTGCAGAAAAAAAGCCAGCCTGAAACTTAAATAAATAAATAAATGACCCAACTGTGCATGTTTGCTAAACTGGGATTACAAGGTTGCTTTTTTAAATTTCTTTTTCAGAGTATAATATATGCTACTAAGAATTCTGATGACCCTGTCAGTTTGCATATTCTAACAGCTTCTCACGTCATGAGGTTGCTTCTGGAAACCTGTTCCTGTAGGTCTGAAGCTTGTTGAAGGAACGTGGTGCCTGAAACACATTACCTTAACAGGTTTCTCAGATCCAGCAGGCTCCAAAGATTAAGCCCAGACAACAGTCCCATAGTGCTCAATACTTAACCTACTGAGAGTATCACAAATCACGAGCTGAAGGTAATACATTTTGTTTCTCAGAGGACTGTGTTTCTTTTTTTCCCTCCTCAGACTATGTCATTAATCTGGGCTTCTAAATCCTATTAAATGATACAAAGATTAAATCCATAGAAGAATTATCAAGACACCAGTGCCAGAAACAAAGAATTTCCTCCCTCCTTTCCTGTCTACTGGCATCATCTGCAATTTGTTAGTTTAACAAATGAAGTTGATGCTCTTATTTAAATATCTTTGAATCAAGCAGAAGTATGACGGAAGATTGACTTTCAAAACAGATACCTTTGAAAATGACTTTCAAATACAAATTACCTAAGGATTTTTTTTTTCCAGGAATTATGTGGAGAGTGTAAGGTTGTGATTATTTTGTAATGTTATTTAAAGTTTTCCTCATTTGAAACTACTGGTGAATCTTTTATTCTGAGGTGAAGAAGATTAGAACTCTCTTCTAGTCTTCATTAACTTAGTTGGATGATTATATATGATAGTAGAGAAATCTTACCTGTTTAAAAACCCCTTTATTTCTCCTTGTAACTAAATGGTGTGCGGTTACTTATGTATGTGCCTTGCAGAAGAAGATTTATCAGCAGCCAGCTAATTCCTGTTCTTGATCACATAGTTTTGTTCTTGGTTATCTGTTGGGAGTCATAGGATTTCAGTGTAAGGGAAGCCAAGATACTACTTAAAAACCTGTATTTGTCTGCAAATTACATCTGACCTGCACAGCTTAGGTCAGGGTGTCTGCTGCTTGCTAAAATTGTCCGGTTGTAAAAAGAAGAATGGCTACCAACTATGCATTTTATCTGCACAGATAAAATATCATTAAAATCCTCTATGCTCTTTTCCATTGCTGGAAAAAAAAAATGAAGGCATCAAAATGATCCAAATGTCAACTGATAAAACGTGACCAGAAATATAGCCAGAATTAAAAATCTCATCAGTGATTTCTTATCAGTAAAAATGGTTGTACAGTAATAGAAATTCTTTCTTAGGTTATATTTGATGTGCCTATCTTAGATCCAAAGGAGGTGACAAAGGAGTTGCACAAACACTTCACGATTTCGTGGTAACTGCAATGGTCTGGTCTCAAGTCATAACCCAGACATCACCTGTGGACACAGGTAGTAAGAGGGAGTAGAGCTAAGAGGGAGTACTGTGTTTCATCCAGTTTACCTAAAACTGTCATGGAAACTGTGTATGACATGTCAGACATAATAAGCCCATTAATGAAGGACAAAAACAGAGAAGGAAAGATATCTACCTGCTCTCTGAATCTTCAGTGCTGATCCTCAAGGGAAGATGGACATAATGACTTCCAAAGACAAATCTGTGAGTTGAATTCTTAATTCTGAATTTTAAAATATATGTACTAGGCAAAAATTTGCTTTGTGCTTGGCCTTGTTTGATTTTTTTTTTTAATGTTTTTTTTCACAAACCATAACTTACCTGTCTTGCTCTTTTCTTTGGGAAAGATAATTATCTTCCCATGCTCTTTCTCATCTGTCTCATTTCTCATCTGTTGCCCAGATACCAACTGTCTGTTTTTCAAGTGTTCTGAATGTCTAGTTAAAATCGGAGGAATCACTACAAGCTGAGCATTCTTTCTGAAGTTAGTTCCTCTTATTTCAGGCATGAAGGAAGGCATAAGCACCCAAAAGGTTATCTTCCAGTGCATCAGCCTTAAATATTGATTTGCAAACTATGACTTAATGCATTTGTATATTCTAATATTGAAAAGCTAGCTGTGGTTTATCATGCAACAATTAAAACAAGATTTGCAGCTATGAGCATAGCTCATAAGATTGAAAGCAATCCTAAAAGAACAACTGGTAAGTGATGAAGTAGTTAGTGAAGTTCTTAACACAGATATTTAGAAGAATTAACAAAATGCTAATCAACTTGCAAAGTGAAGATATTTGACATGATAAAAAACTTTCAGACAAGCTCTCTGAAAAATCTAAGTCACCTACATACTCAATGTCAGCTTAAGGCCATTAATTTTCATTTAATAAGGAGTTGTCAGTACCTTTTTTCATCATCATACATGAAACACTTAACAAGATGAAGTAAATAGCATGAGAACTGTAATAACAACTTCAACTGCAGCGGTGTTATAGATTGACTTTGTCCCAGTGGCTTGCAGAAGATGTTTATATTGCTGAGTAGAAAATATGACTGTTATTCTATGTGCATTAATTTAAAGGTATTTCTGTTCTGCTGGGCTGAACTCAGATCAGCAGGGCCCCAGTCACATACACACTTTCAAAAAGAAATTAAGAACTAAAGAAGCTGAATCAGCGGTAAGAAAAACTTATTTCTTAATAGGAAGTGCAGACGTTACTAGAACCTTCCTCCACAGGGCTCACAGAAACCTACGACACACATGCTTCTGCACTGAACTGGAAGGAGAAGGAGGAAAAAAAAATGCAAGCTGTTTAAAAACAGAACAAAAATTCTTTCTCGGGAGCTTGCATTGTATTCGTGTGGAGGTAGCCAATGCTCTAGTTTTGATATTTAATGACATGAGAGAAAATGTGGTGGGACAGGTAATTTCTTTTCTTGCAACTATTAGCTGGCTTAATAGAAGTCCAAAACTACGTGCTGCTTTGCCTGCTACAGCCCATTACCCACACGGCAAACTCATCTTACTCAGGTAAATTGCTTACGCTAGCCCCTTATTTGTGCTGGGTGTCATCTGGACTTACCTGTCTTCCCTCCTAGAACAATTTGACTTGCTGAAGGAGCTACTAAATATGAACAGAATGTGCATCCTAGCTGCAGAACAAACCAGCAGAAGATGGGGTTACTGCTCCAATTACTACAGAAGTGGATATGCCCAGCTCAGAGGCCTGCTATTACCTCATTTGTCAGAAAGCAAAACAAGTTATTTTTAAACTTGAGGAAATCTATAGCTTCCCTTTCTGCACTTTGTTGGTATTTCTGCATGGTTTAATTCAAACGAGGGGACCGAGACATTCGGACAGTCACTAGAGCCGTGCCTGTCGCTGCCCGTTTTATCTTTCACGGGACAGAGAATCCGGAAGGTTTAGCGGTGGTTTTTTTTTGCTATAAGCGCTATGTGGGAAGGCGCCGTTTGCAGCTGTACCTCCGCCCCAAAGCACCGAGGT